ACAAGCTTTTAAGACCCCAGATGCCATTCACCAAAGTAGGATGCAGAACATTTTCTTAATAAACTTTGTATGCCAGCTGACCTAGATGTCCCCTGAAAGCATGGTCCCCAGACCCCTACCCCTGCTACTCTGTCCCTCAAAGTGTTTAATTGTATTCAGGAAACTTCTTAGCTTTGGTTTAGTGCAGTTGATGTACTACACTGTTTTAAATAATAATTTCTTTTTATTCTTCTATTGTTTCACATTGGAAGAAAATGTGTGAGTATTAAATATTTTTGACTATGCAATTTTTGCAGTATTTTTAGTCACATTCAATTTAATGACTCTACATTATATTCTTATTTTTTCCCCAGAAAGTCAAATAAAGAAAATCACTTTACCCTTTCATAACTATAGCAGCATGAATGAAGATGTTAATATCAATAAGGAAACAATTTTACAATACCCTTCAAAAAATGTATCACTGGAGGATGAAACAAGTCAGTTACATTCCAGGAAAAAACGTTTTTTATCATATCCAAGATATGTGGAAGTTATGGTTACAGCTGATGCTAAAATGGTTCGCCATCATGGACAGAATTTACAGCACTACATACTAACTCTAATGTCAATTGTAAGTAAACTTAACATGGCTTTTCTGTTTCCTAAAACGTTTAAATTAACTTTTTCACATTTTATTTTTAAAAAATGTTTTTCTCAAAATCTAGATGTAAGCAAATCATATCTAGGTTTAAGACAAAAATAATGCTCTACTGAAATTTAGTTTAGATAAATGTACAGTAAGTGTCCTATTCTGTTACTTGGACAACTTTCTCAAACACTTTAATAACTGCAAAACCACTACTAGAGCATGAATTATCCTTTACTTCATCACATGAATGGCTTCTGCCCTCTAGTGACAGGGAAGACGATACTAGTCACATTGATCTTTTGCCCTTTGAATCTGAACTTTAAACTTTACCCTATTTCTGTAGCAGGGTGCTATTTTTACTACTGCTGCTATTTTCCAGATCAGAAATTGAGACAGATGATCTTTTATGTTGTAAGTACGTTTTTGGAGATACAGTGATAGGATATTGCTAATTGAGTGTCTTGGCAAATTCGGGATGAAAGCTCACAGGAGCTCTAAGAGTCTTTGATCTGATGTTAGTATCTCTGTCAAATAGTGAGGGTACTGTTATCCATGGAACTGAATTCTAGTGCTAGTGAAGAACTCAGATTTAGTCTGCTGTTTGTGAGTAATTTCTAAAAGCACCTCATTTTACCCACAGAATTATCCTGGTTTAGTTGAGGAATTATATGGTCATCTATTTACACAAATTCGAGTTATTTGGAAATATCTCATGGCTGGAAGTACCTGTGTTTACATATCTGGATTTCAGGCCCACTTGGTTAAAAAAGTTGGCCAGGACATATCTATAGGACTTTGTCAATTTCCCTTAGCTAGAAATTCCCAGTTAAGTTCATTGTGACTTTCAGGTCCTAAAAGCAAGTCATTTTCTGTATGCATGATGCATGCCTTTAATTTTTATGATTATAAGTTCTAAGAATACATGGTCTGTGTTGTCTGAACACTGTACCTGGCATGAAGTGGGCACTCAACAAATGTTTATATGAAGGATGGATGGATGGATGGATGGATGGCTAAAGTAAAAGGAATATTTCTTTCACAATGCATGACATTGTGATAGACAAAAACCAGAGAAAATCCAAAAAGGCTGTCTGAAATTTGTATAATACACTCATTTTGTATTCTAAATTGAATTTTTAAAATGACCACAGAGCTATGGATAGAAATTCATCCTGATGTTTTTTTTTTTTTTAAATTTTTTCTTAATTAAATTCAGGAAATGCTTCTCCTGAATTTGAATGAGGAATGATGCAATTATCTAGATGTGTCGTGTTTGTTAGGAAGGGATTCTAATGAGAACATTGAAGTGGAGGATGTCAGTCTGGGGCGGTAGGAAATTGTATCAGTTATAGGGAACACTGTGGAGGAAACTTTGCAGTTGAAAATGGTTAAAGGAGATGACATTTATTAAAAAAATTTGGGTGAGACGAAAGGAAAATGTTAGGTTTTATAAATGCAGTAGGTTTTTTAAAGCCTCGTAAATGACAGATAACTCGGATATTGGTGCTTCGGAAATTCTAACTAGGAGTAAAAGCACACAGGGTGTGCTTGGAATAGCTGCAATTTTGTTGACGAATCCACCCTCAGAAACATTTTATTATCTGTACTCTAAATAAAAATCAATTAGTATCGTCACTGTTTGGAGGGTGTTGTGACATACCTTGAGGTGTAACTTAAGTTGTCCATGGGAGCTTTAAAGCCAAAGTTAGTAAGTTCAACGAGGGCAAAGCAGACCTTTCAACTTCACGGAAAACAAACTTGCTTCTGAGACTACTGGAAACAACACACCAATGCATATTCATATCAGTTCCTATATTTTTCGTCCCACTAGGAGGAGAGTAAATTTTAGTTGAAGAAGACACATTTGTAGATGCGTTCAGCTGAATTGCATTAAACTTCCATTCACAGGGAGATAGCTACTGCAGAAGTTGAGGAAGAGGAGAGCATTGCAAATGTAGATGGGGCAGGAGGAAAAATTTAGGAGAGGAAGGTCTCTCCTTTTAGGGAGTTTTTGTCTTTATATATGCTTTCTTTCACCCTCAGAGGTCACACTTCAGATGACTTCTAAATTACCTGGGTTTAGTGCTTTCTTCATTCGGTTCTTCTCAATAATTGAAAGACTGTTCAGATGAGGATAGAAGTTAAGCCAGCAGACTTTATGATTGTATAGCTATATAGTTCTTGGTGACCAAAGCAGTGATCACAGCTGTATTGATGGATATAAAAAATGCTAAAAGTGAAAGGAAACTTGGAGATAAAGTGACAAAGTCCAACTGGCTTGTCCCTTTCCTCATCTTAGTATTAAAGTCCCCAGAAACCCCTCAGTCTTGGGCAAACTGGGACAGTTAGTCACACTGCTTAGAGAGCATTAAGTCTAGTACAACATGTTTTATCTCCACTTGTAAAGTCCATTTCCAAAATTACTCTAATGAGGTTAAGAGGAATGCTGTCTCCCTATAAGTGTCCCCAGATGTTTCCAGTTGATGAGAAATGGAAGGAGCCATTCACGTTTTGCGGGTTTTTTTTCCCTAATTTTTTAGTATGCATTAACTGCATTTATTAAAACACAGACACTTATAATATTGGTAATGCTCTTGGATAATATTAATAATGTCCTTGGTCATAGTAATATAGGAAAAAGTCAAGAAAATGTGATTTAGACTTGAATATGATCGAAAAGTGTTTTTGTATGTTGAGCTCTGGATATGATGGGGAAAATAGCTGAATGCTCTCAGCAATGAGCAAATGGATTATATACACATATTTGGAGAGAGGATTATCTACCTTTACCTCTCTGAACAAAGTAAACAATTGTGCTATCTTCTCGAGATGTTTCTTTGTTTTCAATAGTTTAATAAAATGTCTGAGTGCAGTGATACAAAAATAATGTGTGACTTAATCCTTTTTTAGAGAACTATAATAATGTAAAAATAGCTTGACGATCTCTATTTTTTCAAGGATTTCTATAATTAATCTTATAATCAGTGAGGAAAAGCACAATGGTAGTGTATGGTATGTATAATGAAGTAAGTGTGTCAAACGAGCAGAGATGTTCAATTGTCTGCTATTCTATAGTTTTCATCCTTAGCGATTTGGATGACAGCCTCAGGTTAAAATGGCATTTCCATATAGATTATTAAAACTACCAAAAAATATATAAACTAGAGCAGTTATTTTATTCTGCATGTTTATTTTGCTACTTAGTGATTTATAGTAATAATTTAAACTTGGAAATATTTAGAATATACCAGATACCTCCACACTCCATTGTGTTTAGGAAGGTTTGACTTGATTAAATTTCTACCAAATAATGTGAATATTATAATGTCAAGTTAAGGGACATCATGTGATCCTGAAGAATTAGTCCTGTTTGTTAAAACGTAATTACTATTATTAGAGGCACTTTATCTCTAAAAACCCTTCCTTGCTTTACATTGAATTTATATAATTGCTCCTAATTTTTTGAGTTGCTGTTACTGATTTTAATTAGCACCTGATGTTATTCAGGATGGGGAAGATTTTTAAAGCACACTAAAATAAAAACTAATGATAGACTTTCATATGTTAAGATAATAATTTCTGTTACCCTTTCTTTTGCTCAGTGCTCTGCTTATTCTTAATTCTTTGCACATATTTATTTTGCACATATGTCAAACATTATTTTCTTACTTAAAAGCAAAAAGATTTCTCTGAACAAGTAATGGGTAGTGATCTTTGTAAACAAAATCTCCACTTCTTTGTTAAAGCATTTCTTTTATATACATGACTTTGTACTTCTTAATAAAGGGGCCCTCTAAACATGCCATATATGTTTGCTCTAGTTCTACATAGAACTTATTTTCAAAATGATTAGTAAGTTAACAGTGATATTAATTTGTTTCATACTTTGAAAGAAGTATAATTTTCCTGGTATATTTCCTATATAGAGACATAATTTAAACAATATGATTCATACTACTTCTTTACTTTTTGTGAAATATCCATCTAGTAATGTTTACTATTTTTACTATTTATGAGGCTTGTACAGAGGATTTAGCTGGGAAACAAACATTTAAAGAATAAAAGATTAAGTAAATTTTAATCAAATCAATAAAAATTCTAATACATAGCACTCTAAAATATAGTGATTACAGTAAAATATAAAAATAGGGCATTATAGGACAGGAAGATGGCTTACAAATTTGATCTAGCATTTCCTAAGATATAGTCTATGGAATGGAATACCAGTTCAGTGGTATGTCCTGGGGTAAAAAAAGAAATGACTCTGTCCAAATGATTATGTAAAATACTGCATAAAATACCCCTTTCTTATAGATTTTAATATATACGGTGAAACCTTTTAGAGCCAGAACTCGACGTGACTGCCTTATTTTTCCAGGTCCTGCGAGTTTTCTGTCTTTAGCAGAGTGCACTCTTTTCTATCACTCATTTTAGTGGAAAATATTTTAATTTTCCTTCTCTGACAGGTTTTCACCTTACATAGGTTCGGGCTTTTGCAAGTTTTACTGTATAAGTCTATTCAAGGCTCTGTGAATATACCTATTTAACTCTTTTTAACTCAGTATTTCCTAAACTGAGGAAGGATTTTTGTTCTTTAAAACCAATATCCTCCTCATCCCACTGTCAGAAAAAAGCACCTAGTTAATACCAATTCAATACATGAGGACACTCTGACCAAGGGTATTCAGAGCCCTGGTGGTGCAGTGGTTAAGAGCTCGGCTGCTAACCAAAAGGTCCACAGTTTGAATCCACCAGCCGCTTCTTGGAAACGCTATGGGGCAGTTCTAGTCTGTCCTGTAGGGTCACTATGAGTTGGAATCGACTCGATGGCAGCAGGTTTAATGCAGTTGCAGAAACTGAGACTAAGAATAGATAAATTCGTATTCCAAGGTTAATCAACTGGCTTGTAACTAGTACTGGAGCTAGAACTAAAGCCCGGTCTCCTGACTACATAGGATTTCTTCAAGGCCATGGTCAAGTGA